ATACACTTTATATTTGAGTTTTCTTTCCTTAGACTATATTAAATTATATATAGTTCTACACTACCTTTAATGGTTATTAAATTCAGTGTTTAGTACCAGAAAAGTATTAAATTCAGTGAATTAAGCTGCCTTCGTCAAGATCTACTGTAAGTAATCTTTATCTACAATTATCTGGGCGAGTAATATGGTATGGTACCATATCACCTGCCATTATCTGGACGTATCATCTATATCTTCACCTGTAGATTGCCGATTTTTGAATGCAATTGAACCATTCAAGAAATTTCTATAAATATTACCTATGAACATACCAGTCTCAGTTTTTTTTATTAAATAATAGTGCGAGATAGTTAATTGACTTAACTAAGTGCGGTTTGGTTTATGTTTTCATTCCTGTAACCTTTTTGTTTTTTTTTTGTAAATTTAGAGTTAAGTAATTTTTGCTATCTTTTATATTTCCTATAATTTTTGTTCATTATCTTTCCTATGATATCTCGAGATACGCCAAACTATATTTGTATATGATTGCCTTATATATCTTGGTAAAGGTATTTTTTTATTATATTATAGCTTAATTTTATACATATATAACACCATTTCATGTTGTGTATTTTTATTAGCTGAGTTGCATTTAGCAGCATCATAATTTTGTGTTTAATATATTGTTATTGTTTTATGCATGTATTTTATTTGTCGGCCCCTAACAAGTTCCCTGATAAAATAATAGCTCTGAACAATTACTATCTTTAAATATTACGATGCTTTTGAACTGTAGAAAGATCAGGCTGATTAAGTTTCGTAGGTAAGTAAGTGTAATACTTAATATATTTATTATTTGTTTATATATTGCGTTGACCAGATTTATTTGATAATTTACTGTTGGTATCTTTCCTTGGGTTTGATTTCTGAACCTAAATATCTTTTCTTATCTCTTTTCTTTTCTAAGGTTTTCTTAATTTTCTCCTTAACCCCAAAAAATTGAGTGGCGCCCTGTTTCTATCTTCTCTTATCTTTGGTAATTTTACCCATCTATCTTTTTGTTTATTTCTGTATCTTTTCTAATATCTCTTATCCTATCTTTACCTATTTCTTCCGTTGGATCCATTCCCGGTTCCAAAAGCTAGTTTCGAACCCACGACTTGCTCTCCACCAACCATCTGGCTGCCGTCCGCAGTGTCTCCATTGGTTATCTTTCTAGCACCAACCAAAAAAGATTTCCGAGGTTACAAGCTTTGCATCGGGATGTGCATCGAATCTAAACACTAAAAATTTGGTTTTGTTTAAGTTTATTTTAATGCCCATTTCATCTCCTACCTTGTGAATACGATCAATCAGAATTTGAAGACCTTCAATATTATCTGATAGAATTACTGTTTAACAGCCATTACTTTTGTTTTATTTGTGTTTATATTTAGTCCCAAGCTATCTCCCTCTCTGGTTATGAAATTCAAAAGTCGTTATAAACCCTCAGCACTATCCGCAATAATGACAGTGTCGTCTGCGTATCTTAAGTTGTTTACGTATTCTCCGTTGATTTTTATTTCTTCTTCAATATTTTTGGGGGCATTTTGAAAGATTTTTTCGGAATATATATTAAATAACAGTGGAGAAAGTACACAGCCCTGACGAACTCCTCTTTTTATTGGCAATTCTGCTGTCAGACGATTCTCAATTTTGATCTACGCCATTTGATCCTAATATAGTTTTTTAATAAATGCTACAGTGTTATGGTCTATACCATGTTGTGTTAGGATTTCTATCAGTTCTGTGTGTTTTACTCTATCAAACGCTTTTTGGTAGTCTTTAAACTCTACTTTAAAATGTATTTGTAATGTATGTGTTACAGTTAACGTCTGAACTCAGGTTAATCTTAATATTACCCACTTAATATTGAGATTCACCAGTCTAGTTGGTTAATACCCAATATGGAAAATTAACGATCTTCAGCCTTCAATAGGGTATTAATCGGCTAATTCCGATATTAACACAAGTATATTGTTACCACATTGTTTTGATGCGTAATAGAGTGACATTCGTGCACGAAGTATCGATTATTTGAAAGAGAATCTTGTTAAAATTATTTTCACAAAAAGGGATGACAACAGTGCAACAACAGTAACATTTTTGTTTTTTAAATTTTACATACCATGTCAGCAAGAATTGAGTTCAAAAAGAAAAGTACTCGTTATAAAACCTATGATATATTCTAGAATGAATAGTAAGTGTCAAGTTCATTTGACATGCAATCCGAAGCTGATAGACCATTTCGATTCATCTTTGCTATCAGGATCACCTTACTAAATTCCTGTTATTAAAATTTTTAACTTTAAAGAAGTCAGATGAAGTAGCTACACATTTGGTAGAAATTTTCTAAATTTTTGGATATACTCATACTTTCAATACTCCAATTGGATAATGGTCGTGAGTTTGTTAACACATTAATAAATATTGTTCTGAAGCTATTTTCTTGTGGCATTGTAAATTAATTTACTATTAAACTGGAATAAGCCACAATTAAAGATAAAAATACGTTTATTGACGTTTCAATTTCCACTTCGGAAATCGTTCTCAAAATACAAACAGTAAATTAAACAAATTTTGTTTTTTGTTACATAGTGAAAAATTCTTCTAATAATTTAATTTTATCTGACTCATTTATATTGACAATTCAGACATACATTATGCATTTTAAAGTAGACGACTTTAAAATGATATTGCCAATATTGTTGAGTTGCGCTCCTGGGACGACTTTACTTATAAGATAGTTCATTCGATTACATGAAATCAACTTTAACTTGAGAATATCCGTCAGAAAAAATCATAGCATGTAATTCGTCTTTAAAAAGACAAACACATGACATGATGACAGTAAAATTCTCCTGTTAGTGATTCCATAGTAAATTATGAGGGAAAACCAGGAAAAAACCTCATAATACTATCCCGACATTGTAAGTATTTGTTCGTGAATTTAGTTTACCTTCAACAAACATCAAAATTCTGATTTTATATGTTACGTTATTTAAAAAACATAAATGATGTATCCTCTATATGTTACTGACTTACTAATACTGGTATTTTCTTATTAATAACTTCCTCTTTCAATATTGGTAACCAGATCCTACTACATTCTGCCGAAGAATTTGCGACACAATTGGCCTCATTTAACATAATTAGAGCCGCTTCTTTGATTTTTCTTTTTTTACCATCCGTTTCTTTTAGGACTACATTTGAATTACTCCATTGAACCCTATGTTCATTATCCCATGCGTGTTTACAGATTTGAGATCTATCAAATTCTTTATTTTTATTATAAGATTGATGTTCACTTATTCTAACATTTAATGGCCTTGATGATTCACCTAAATAAAAACTGGTCGCATTCACAAGGTACTTTATAAATGCAATTCTTTGTCCTTTCTTGTTCATTGTTAGGTTTGGTTTTGGACAAAATAGATCTCAACGTGTTTGTGGTTTTGAATGTTGTTGAAATGTTGAATTTATGTATTTTTATGTAATTTCCGAAGTGGAAATTGAAACGTCAATAAACGTATTTTTTATCTTTAATTGTGGCTTATTCCCAGTTTAATAGTAATTAACAGTAATAAATAGACTTAGGCAAATATGCAAATTGCATATTTTGCATATAATGCATAAAAATGCAAAAATGTCAAATTTTGCATATTTTTATAAAAGTGGGCATAAAGTGCATATAATTTGAAAATTTGGTGTTAACTATATATTTTTATATTAAAACTTACAGATAGCATGAAAATGCCAATATTTAATTTTGTTTTATAATCACTTGGTATTCAAATTCTTGGTACAGTAACTAATAAAAGACAGCGGCTTATAGTTTTGTCACGTTTTGTCATGAATTAAGGGTTTGTGTAAACCAGTTTATGTCTCTAGGTAAAAATTTTTATTTTGACGGTCAGTTTCACTTGGTTTCACTTTTATTGTAAAATTGGAGGCGCAAACAACGTGTATTTCTAATTGTAAATACTTATTGTGCTTTAAAAATGCCGAAAATAAGCAATGTTTCAACTTGGATAAAACCTTACAAAAAGCTTTCTATGGATGTGGATAAAGTGTATTTGCTCATGTTGTGGCAAAACCATAAGTACATACGTATTATTTTTTATTTTCCTTTAAAAATTTACACGTTGGTACAAACAAAGATTTTAAAATTGGAGCTTATGTTTAAGAAAAGTACCGACACAAGGCTAGTTCGCAATAAATCGATGTATTTTTTCTTTTTTCAAGCATTTTTAAACTCTTTGCGATAAAAATAGGATACCTATTTAAAATTCGAATCATTCAATAGTCTACTGAAAGGTCGCTAACATTTTTTTTCTAACGATAGCATAGTTTGCTTCAATTTTGCTAAAAACAAAAACATATCATATTTTGGACTTAATTAATTAAGTGCTTTTAATTTATGCTCACAGTATTTTTTCTTTAATGTAAACAGAGAAGACCTAGAGCCTCTTGTAAATATTTGGGGGTTCTTGCTCCTTGCACAGTCATTTCTTGATATTTTTAAGATTACTACACCGACTTTTATTTGATTTAATTTAAATATTTTAATTGTTAAGCAAAACGGTTCATTTTTAGTTTATTTCTAAAATCTAAATTCTAAAAATGGGTACAACTATAAAATATTTATATTCTTTTTAGATTTCATCTGAAAAAAAAATTCAAATTGATCAGCATGTCAATTTTCATAGGTACCCGCTTAGTAGTTTTTTCTCACTCCTATGTTTTGCTACGCTTTTTGCGTATCTAAATATACGAAATAAACTTACGGAATTTTGAAATCACTTTTAATTCAGTTATGAGGTAAAAATCTCTACTACGTCACTGCTAGCTCATTGCCTGAATCATTGTTAATAAGTTCTATTAGGAATGTCTAGATATAAAATTAAACAATGATTTAAAGATTTAAAATATGATATATAAATAAATTTTAGGTAAAGTATTTCAGTATAATCTCTTTAACAATGGCGCTATTTCAAACTTTGCCTAACGGGTTTAAAATCCCTTCTATTGGATATGGAACAGTAAGTTGGAATAACATTGTGTTTATTATTTTATTATTTATTTCAGTTTAGTGCTAGAAGAGATGTTATGAAGAACTTATTTTTCTTCTGTGGGAAACGATGCAAGAAATCATTTATCATTTTCTTCACATTGTATTTAAAGTAATTACTATTTAAATGGGAATAAGCCACAATTAAAGATTAAAATACGTTTATTGACGTTTCAATTTCCACTTCAAAAATCGTTCTTTTATTCATATGGATCATAAAACTCATAAAATCAGAAATTTTAATTTCCGAAGTGGAAATGAAACGTCAATAAACGTATTTTAACCTTTAATCATGGCTTATTCCCATTTAAAAAGTAATTACTTTAAAATGCCACAAGAAAATAGCTTCAGAACAATACATTGTACTTAAGTTTGGCTAATTTGTTTTTAAATTTAATTGATTTTTTTATTGTTTTTTACCTATTTAGGAAGTCTTTTCTAAGCGATTGTACTGGGAAACATTTTCTTGCCAGCTGTATGCTTCACTCTCTCCAGTTTTTAATTTTACTTAGCAAAGGTAATTCTTTTTTCTTCCATTATCTCGTTTTCACTACATTTTATTCTTAATGACGAATTAATGAATGTAGTACTTTTGGTACGTAGTAAATGACCCAAATAACTGGTGTATCTTTTTAGTGGTTCCCAATAGCCGATTTTTTATATTTAGTCTATGTAAACTTCTTCGTTCCATATTTAGTCTATTTAGAACTCGTTTAGAACTGAGAAGTACGATTTGTTACAGCCGATTATGAAGTGTTAACATATTAATTTCCCCAACGAAGACAAAATGCATGGTTACAACAGCAAATTTACTATAGTTTATTTTTATGAACGAGAGAGTAATTAGCATAATTTTAACTGGTACCTTCGACCACTCCATGGGCGTGCTCAAGATTAATTGAAAAATTACTTTGAATAATTGTAAAAAATAAATGAATTATTTCAGTGTTATAAAGTGTTGTGTGTATGTAAACAAAAGTGACCTCTTTTATCACACACTATATTAGAACTGACCGGCCTACATTAAAAAGGGTTTTAAAAAATTCACATTTTTTTTAATTTTTAAAAATTACAAAAGAGAAAAAGAGTTTTTAAAACCGTCTAAGGTATGTTAAATAGATGAATAAAAATATTAATATAAAACTTACAGCTACTTGTTACAAATCCAAATCAGATTCAGAAGATGAACTTTCAGAACCAAGATTTATAATAACTGGCTCGATCATTTTATCAGTAATATTGTCCAGCTTCCACATTTTTTCCTCTTCTTTAATAGTGTGATTTACTGCCTTTTCCCAGTTTTCAGGTTTTACATTATTTACGGCCTCCAAAAACAACTGTTTAACATCATGAATTTTAAAAGTGGTATTTTTTCTTGAAACTTCACTCTTTATCTGTGCCCATACCAGTTCAATCGGGTTTAATTCACAATGATATGGTGGGGATCTAAGTACTGTCATTCCACGATTTTTGGCAATTTCATCAATTTCGTATTTTTTAAATTTTTCTTTATGAAGGGCACACAACGAATAAAGTTCCTTTCTTATAGATCCGGGATGGTACGTAATATTTTTTGAACTCTGCCAATTCTGCAAGTCTTTTTTTAACCACTTGGTTGTGGGCAGTCCTTCTATAAGTCTGGAGTGATAACTTGCATTATCCATTACTATTACACAGTTCTTAGGAAGAAGATCTATCATTTGTTCGAACCATTCTTGAAAGACATCAGCGTTCATGTCTTCATGGTAGTCACCGGTACGAGTTGATTCAAAAGTTAATAAACCACCTTCAACAATACCGTCTGAACTGCCAATGTGTACTATTATCAGCCTGCGTCCCTTTCCTGATGGTGGGTTTAAACCAGTAGATAAGTTATTTACAAAAGCGTGCCTTTGACTTGTAACAGTTTCATCCTGTCAAAATTTATTTGGTGTATGACCCTCGTTGATCCATGTTTCATCAAGATAAAATATTTTTCTTTTTTGGTTTCTCATTTCCTTTATGGTTCTTAGAAAATGTCTTCTCCATATGACAATATCGCTTCTTTCTAATAAAATAGACTTTCTGGATTTTTTTTTCCAACGGAAGCCTATTTCTTTTAAAAGTTTCCATAACGTACTTCGACTCATTTCTGGTAATCCTTATCATCTCGAACTGAGACAAGAACTTTATCCAATGTTGGAAATTCTTGTCTAAAGAAGAATTCATGCACTTTCTGTCGATGTCCTTCTTTAAAATGATATTCTATTTGAAATTTTGGTTTCCCTGGAGCATTACGTGGCATTTGAAAACTACCACATCTCTCTTCTTTAATAACTACAATCGTAATCAACAAGTGTACTGCTAACTAACTCAACGGTCTCATCAACACTTTCACATAAACGTTTGTCTGTAATGATTTAAAACAATTAAATATTAATGTTTTTTCATTAACTGTTAAAGGACCAATTTTTCGGCGTTTACACGGCACTTCCAAATTTTCCATAACACTAGTATACACAATAAACTGCACCTTGCAACTGAAGTACCTACTTTTAGTGAACTGTTAAGAATTTTGAATACGCCACTTGGACCTTCCTACAAAATGGAAAAACCCACTATCACATTTTCTGTGGAATAAGTTTAGAAGGTAATTATCTAGTCAATTACTGTCGTAGATTCCTGGAATTAAAGAATTAAATGTTTGATTGTTGAAACCCTTACTTCGTGGAATGCACTCATTTCAGATAAAATAAAACGTTTTATTTTATCTAAAGAATTAAACTTTATTTTGCAAATAGGTACGTACTTATTAAACTTTTATTGGTTATATATAACCAATAAAATAAACATCTTACATTTCTTGCAAATTCATTAGTACCTGTTAACCTCCATCACTCCGACACTGGCAACCTTATTTAGGGATTAGTAACCCTCACAACTATTGTATTCTATTCTGCTCCAACCTTTATATTTGGTGGTCATACTCAATTTAAAATTGTTTTCCTATATACTTCTGTAAACTTGTTGACAAATATCTGTTTTTGATTGAGTCACCCGTATCAACAGTTTAGGGATTTGCATACATAATTTATTGTTTTATTACTCTCTCATACATAAAAATACACTATAAGTAACTACTGTAATTTGGAGCTGGAAGGTCAGATAATAGATCAAGTGATGGAGTTTAAATATCTAGGCACCACATTATCTAGCTAAGGAAAGCTCGAAACCGAAGGGAAAGATTAAGTGAATAGAGCAAACAGAGCCTCAATCTGTCTAAACAAAACAATATGGAGAAATAAAAATATCGGGAACGAAAAGAAAGGCAGAATTTACAAAACAGTCATCAGACCAATACTGACATACGCGGCAGAAACAAGACCTGACACAGAGAGGACAAAAAGGATATTAGAAACAGCAGAGATGAAAACACAAAAATTAATGGTAAGGTACTATGGAAGAGAGCTAGAAGTAAAGATATACGACATAGATGCAAGGTGGAAAATGTCAAAAACTGGATAAGAAATAGAAGAGTAGATTGGAACGATCATATAAGCCGAATGACAACAAATAGAGTAGTAAAGACGACAAGACACGGTTCCCCAATAGGAAGGAGATTAGAAGTAAGACCACGAAAACGATGGAATGACAAGTTACTGGATGCACATTGAAAAACAGACAGAGTCATGTCTATATAAAAAGAAGGAATAGAAGATTATAAAGGGTAAAATCGACGGAAAAAGGGGTCCTGGTAGACGATATCCTGGATGAAAAACATTGGCGACTGGACCGGTTTGAACACTCAGACACTTTTACGAATAGTAGCAGATAGACACAAATGTGCAATAGTGATACCCAACCTTCAATAGTGAAATCGGCACTTGAAGAATAAGAACTTCTTCATCTGTTTTTGTTTCAGTCCAAGAATTTTTTAAAATTCTCCGGTACACCCATATTTCAAATGTCTCTTACTTATTCAAGATCTTTATCTTTAGAGTCCACGTTTTAACTCCATAGAGAACAATATGCCAAATAATAATAATAATACCGCGCTCCAATGCTCCAGACTATCCCTTTTCTCCCTATAGCACCTTAATATTCTGGTTGGAGTTCTTGTTAATACATGTTAGAACCTTAAATAAGACAAAAATGCGTTTTTTGACATTTGTATATAAAAAATATTATGTGGCACCTCTACAAAACAGGCAATTCTATCATGACCTATTTACTAACATAAGTTGTGTTTTTATGTATATTGTAGGCTCGTGCTCAAGAACAAGCGCTAGATCATGCTCTAAAAATAGGCTTCCGCCATATCGATACTGCTCCCGGTTACAAAACTGAACCTCTTATTGGAAGCGTTTTAAAAAAATGGATTCCCAATAAAATAAAAAGGGAAGATGTTTTCATTACGAGCAAATTTCCTCCAAAAGATGGATTTGATCCAGAGGAGACACTTAAAAAAACATTAGAAGATCTTCAGCTAGATTATGTTGACTTATATCTAATTCATAGACCAACTGATGATAACGAAAAGAATCTACAAATATGGAAGGTAAGTAGTACAACAGCAACATTGGTGCTTACTTTTAGAATATTTTACTGTACTATAATCTATATATTTTATTAAGTAATTATCATTTTCCTGAACGTGCCCTGAATATAATATATTCATCAAATTACTAAACATGTTTGGTCAAATAAACTATTAGAAGAGGAAAAAGCTCTTAGAATTTTGATCGATATCTTAAAGCTCTGCTAAAGCCTAACTAAAATTACGTTTACATAAGAAAAGTTCTTTAACTAGAAACCGTCTAACATCTATACCATTATTGTATAAAGTTAAATAGAAAATATATAGTTTAAACATCTATATTTCTAATAAAGTTCTAATAATATTATTGTTTTTAGAAACTAGAAGAACAGGTGGATGCAGGGAGAGCCAAATATATTGGACTGTCCAACTTTACAGTCGATCAAATAGAACATATTTTGCAAAATTCTAGAATAAAGCCTGTCAATTTACAAGTACAATTACATTTGTATGGTCAAAATAAAGACCTTGTAGAGTATTGCAAGAAGAACAATATCACAGTAGTAGCTTATACTCCTTTAGGAGCCCCAGGGTAAGTCAGATTTAGTCATTTTAATAAGATCAAAAACAAAACTAAGTGATGAGGATATGACGCAGTGTTATCTTACGTAGTCTGATTATTTTATTATCATATTTTTCGCTGCAATATAAAGGACCGCTCTAACTCAATGGCTGGTGGCGGAGCATCCACCAAATAAAACACTTTAAAAAAAGCTCCGAACAAAACTATTTTTCTCTACTAAATATTTAATATTATATCGCCCAATTAAACTTCTTTCTAAATATTTTGTAATCAGTTATATATCAACATTTTTATTTTAATACTCTGGCCGTGCTGACTGAGAAAATCATATTGATATATTAGTAAATAACGATACATAACAATGAACATAATAATGAAATTCAAACAAAATTTTTCGGTAGAAAAAGTGACATTGTAAATACTGTTTTGAACGAACATAGAAAAATACTCTTAACCTGTAAGTCAATGATTTGTAACATAGTTTTTTTTTATTATTTTTTTTTCAAAATTATTAGTTTCCTTCCGACGATAGTCCAGTCATCAGAGATTTGACCCCTAAAAATCATACGAACAAGCTAAATTTAACTAAGCAAAAAAGTTTAATATTTTTACTATTATTCCCTCAAGACTTAATAATACGAACTTAAGATATATATGTAGTTTGTGATTCAAAAGTATTTTACACTTTAAAAATGGAAGTCTACGTGGGATCCCAACAAGCTGGTCCATATAAATTTTCTAACAAACCTAGTGCTGTGGTTTTAAGATTGTGCAAACACATTTCTGGTTCACGCGTTAACTTGACAATGGATAACTGATTTACATCAGTTCCATTTGTGAAAAGGTTGCTTCGGGGTTACAAAATAACTACAATTGGATCGCTAAGAAAAATTAAAACAGAACTGCCAGCCGAGTTTTCGAAACTCACTAAACGTCCAATCCATACAAGCATGTTTGGCTTTACAGAGGACATCACAATCGTTTCTTATATCCCAAAGCAAAGCAAAAATGTGATTTTAATGTTAAGCATGCACCATCATGATAATATTGACATAAACAGTAATGATAAATCTAAACTAGTAATAGTCACTACTTATATTAATACAAAAGAGGGTGTCGACGTTGTAGACAAGTTGTACACTAGTCACAACTGCTCCCGGAATAGCAGAAGATGGTCCATGGTGGTATTCTACACATTATTAAATGTTACAGGAATCAATATTCAGGTGATATATAAAGCAAAAAACGGAGACCCAAACATACGGCGACGACATTTGTTAAGAGATTTAGCAAACGCATTCGTTCATCTATATTTAAAAAGGAGAGCAGCTCTTAGCAATCTTCCGAGGACGCTAAAGCTGAGACTTCATAGTGCAGTCATTGAGGCGAAAAATACGGTCTTACCTTTGAATTTTTTTACTGTAAACCGATTTGCATGACATTTTGGAATTAGGTTCATCTTACCCTTAACTTCAAAGTCATAATTTTAAGCAAAAATCATCTATAAAGTTTTTCGAAAAATCCAATACTTTTCAAGTTATTGGCAATTGAAAATTCACAATTTTTTCACGTTTTTCTTCATCGGTTTTTTGCAAATATTTTCAAAAATATACGTTTTATCGAAAATTTTATAAAAACAAAATTATAGCAGTTAAAAAAATAAACAATTTGGTTTTTTATGAAGTATTTTAAGTGTAATATTAGGCAAGATATTAGAGATCAAAGCCGTTTTTTATTTTGTCTGAAATTTAATCGATGTGGCCAATGCCACCTAGCGGCGAGCAGATGCATTTTAGGCATTCTAATAAAAAGGCATTCTAATAAGCTTTAAAATAAGCACAATTAGAAGTCTTTTGCACGTAAAATAAATAAGCTGTATTGCAAATAGGAGGAGCATCATATGTTTTTTCTTTTAAATCAATGGGTTTCATAAGTGCCATTTCCACCAAAATTAAAATTAATTGTATTCCGCCTAAAATTTTGTTGTATGAATTTAGAAACATACTATATATACTGCACATGTTTCCCATATTGTATTGAGTCCAAATTTGCATTAAAAACATTTTTGAATTAAGTTTTGCTCTGCACACCCCAACTCAAATGTCTTGAGCTGCTACTCCTACAAATAATGACATAAATAAAATTTAATAAAAAAGTTAAATGTTTTAGGAGTAAACATGGAGAAAAGCTAGATATTCTTGAAAATGACACTTTAAAACAAATTGCCAAAAAATACAATAAATTACCTGCCCAAATAGCTTTGCGGTTCCTGATCCAGAAAAATATTATACCAATTCCAAAAAGTGTAACCCCAGAACGGATAGAGCAAAATTTTAATGTGTTCGATTTTGTCATAAGCGATGAGGATGTTAAAAGTTTAGAAAGCTTGGATAAAAACTTGTACAAGACTGAAAGACCAAGACCTCCTAAAAATGACTGATATATATTGTAGTTAATTAATGTTAAAGTAGTAAGTTAATGTTAAAATATAAATCAATAAAAATGTTTAAATACATTTTTTATTAAAAGCACAGACACTTAAATCGTTTGTATTACCTACAATTTTTAAAAAGAACATTTAAAAAGAACTCAATTTTACAGGAGAGCGTTTTTAAATTTAATGTAAAATATTTTTGATATTACTGAAAAATTGTTTTACAGATCATGATCACTGTTTGCATATTAAATTACTTTTTGTTATAGTGCTTTATTATTGCCAATTAAAACAACATTAACATGTAATACGGAAAAATTTATTTGGATATAGAACAAAAGGAACATTTAACTGAAATATTTGGGATATAGGACATGTATAGTGGATATAGAACTAACTAATTCTTAAAATGTTTTATTGGTGTTAACGACAAATTATCAAATAAAAACCAAAATTTATTAAATATATGACCGTAACTTAAACAAAAATACAATTATTAGGTGTACTAAAAAAACAATAATCTTCTATTTCTCGCTACTTTCCTTATTTGTCTATTTCTTTTGTTTTTCTTTGTTGCACATGATACTTGAATTGTGCTTCAAAACAACATTGTAAAACTCTTTATCAACTTCCGGCATGAACGGTATCATCTCTTTGAGATGCTTTTTCTTTAATTCAGGTAATTTTGGTGTTAAATTAACGAGTTGCAGCACTTCTGGTAAATTATTATGTATTTGACATCGCGTTTTTTTAACGTTTTCCAGTTTAATTTCCTTAAGTGGCCCTTCATATAGTTCACCATATTTTATGATTAAAGGAAATTCTTTTTCGTATATCAGATGTTTCACTTTAGTGTAAGGTACGTTTCGATAGGATAATTTTTCTGATTCTGCTTGGTAATTTTTATAATCTGCAGTGATCATTTGAAAAAATTTAAATTTCATTTTCCACGAGTTTGGAATCTTCGTTAAAATTTTTAACAAACTTACGGGGCTCCAAATATCTACATTTTTTACAAATCTTTCTATACAACTATGAGCTGCATCGACTTCTTGTACACAGCTGTGACCCGGTTCACCAAATTTCTGTTCTATTATTTTTATCTGACCTGAAGAATTGGATTGCAAAAAATGTTGCAAAGCAAATGTCATTATTGAATTTTTATTTTGAGGTACACAGCTGTCTGACCATAAAATTAATTTTTCAAGTGCAGGATTATCTAGTACTACTTTTTTAAGTATTTTAATCAAAGCACAAGAAATATGAAGTCCGCTTCTACCAGAAATCATTTCATGCCATAAGGCATTATATACGATCTTAGTTTTGTCGAAATGAGCAGTTAAATTATAACAAGAAAATTTTGTTTTATAATAAAAATTGCTTACGTTAGATTTTGGTAGCGAAAAAACTTTTTGCAGATCAAAACATAAAACACCAACACATTTGCCCTCGGAGGATATAAATTTGTCTCGGTTTTTTTCCTGATGTACCAAATCTTTATTTTTCTTGTGAGTTTCAAATTTTAAAATATCTGCTTCAGTCGGATTAGTAAGAGAATTATATGCTGCACACTTATCACATATATCTTTCTTGGGACAAAAGAATGTCAAATTAAATTCAGTATTGAATATTGTCCGATACATATGATATTTGACTGGTTCTGATTCTTGAGTTTTGTATAGATCATACATTTTTTGTAAATTTAAATTTCTTTCCAAATATTGTCTGGTAGAACTCTGTCGACAATAGTGAGAGTCGACTCTTTGAAAAGAGTTAATATGTTCTCGTACTTTTGTTTTTTTCCTCGGAGATAGTTTTCTTCTGATGCCTGCCACGAATAGGGGAACGAACAATGCATCTAACATCATCTTTTACACTTTTAAAAAAGTAGTAAATCCTCTGTTTACTAATATTTAATGTATTAAAAAAGTAATGTTGGCAAACTCTTATTTTAACTCCACATACATAAAAAAAATATTGATATGAAAATGTTTTTTTGCTGGTTTCATTGTTTGTTCTTTTTCTTACTGCCAAAATACGCTTCACATGTTTTGAGTAGAACTGATTCTTTTTGTCATCATTAAGAGACCAAAACTGTCTATGAATTGTATCTCTTTCGTCAGGAGTAATTTTAGCAGTACACTGTAGTACACAATTTTCAGATCGACATGTCTCTATTTTCACAGATTTCTTTTCCCTGGTCCGCTTCATTGTATCAACATATTCTTGTCCAGATTGTCGTTTATCTTTTCTTATATTTTGTTTCTAATCTGATGGTCTTGTTTTTCGTTTTAGACTAATCACCGCAGGTTTATTAACTTCTTCGTTAAGATACTCTTCTTCCTCTGCCATCTCAATTTGACTCTCAGGTAACTTTTGTAATTGAAGATTATTTTCTTTTTCTTCATAGTTTTGTGCCAATGCGTCTACTTCTTGCAGTGTGCTAAATTGTAAATTTTGTGTATCCATAGTGTTTAAAGTAACCATTTGTAAAACAACAACTTTTCCTTCATTTGGTGTCGCTTTAGGTCCGTGCTTATCTTGAGATGTTTCTTTACTAATGTTTTCTTTGTCGTTTTCGACATTCTCTTCGATAATATGCCACAAAGAGCTAAAATAAGATATTATTTAGTGGTATTATTTCTCAAAAAATTTAATGTAAGCTTACTTCCAAACGTCACTAGGACATGAAAAAGGCCTTGTCGGCGACGGTGAAAGTTTTGCACTCATTATAAACTACAAAAAGAAATTGATTTAAATATCAATGTAGTAAGAAACACATGCAATTCGAATCAAAATTACAAAATTAAAAGGAACGAATTTGAAATATGACCACATCAAGATTTTTTATTGATTTGAATAGGTTTAATTACATTTTATTCAATAAAATATCCGTGTCTATGAAAATTTTGAGGTTAGGTAATATTGCAAATTCGTTTAATAAGGATGATTAAATCAACACAATAATATTAAACGTACTTATTTAAATTGTTTCAGGAATACCCACTACTATTTAGTTTAAATACATTTTCTTACTATTCACTTTTTACAAAAAACAATAGATCATTTACCAACATGCCATGATGTACATACACGTACAGTCCGGTATTAAGCACATTATGCGTAATGGATATAGAACACTATAATTCTAGTAACGTATTTATTCTAAAAGTTAAAGAGGATATAGAACAAAATAATTTTAAAAATATTTTGAGGCATACGGGATATAGAACTAAATGTTACTGAAAACTTTTAATTGGTTCTGAATATTATCATCATTTCAATGGATATAGAACAAGCTAATTTTTACAAAAATTTCTATGCATATAACTCCAAACTGCCAAAAAGTGGATATAGAACAGTATAATTCTCAGGCGACGATATATATATATATATATATATATATATATATATATATATATATATATATATATATATATATATATATATATATATAATATATATATATATATATATATATATATATATATATATATTATATAATACCTACTTCCTATAGAAATTAAATTTGGAAAATGAATCATTTTATGGAAAATTTTAATCGAATCGTTTATGTCAGAAACTACCTAAGCGACTAAATATCAAAAAAATATGTTTTACATTTTAAAGGTAATTACATCTTTTAGTGCAAAAATAACCTGTTTCATATTATCAGAAATGTTATTTGGCAGTCCTGAAAATAATTCGTTTATTTCAAAAAGAACCCAGGTAACTCGCTGTTTTGTTCGATTTAAAGGTTAGGTAACACTGAGTGATTAGTTTTTGTGATTTTTTGATGAAAATTGGGTGTTATTTTGTAAAGAAACCAAACGCCGTCGCTTAGGTTCTTTCTGCGATAAATTGCATTCACTCCTGACGGTTTGCGGTGAATTTTGTTACTCGCTGTTTTGTTCGATTTAAATATTAGCTAACACTGAGTGATTAGTTTCGTGAGTTTTCGATGAAAATTAGGTGTTATTTTGTTGTTTATTGTTACGTTGTATAGTTCTTAAGCCATGTCAGATAGTACATATAATGAACCTAGTCCCAAGCATAGGGACTCCGTGGAGTGTAGGAAGAAAAATACAAAGGAATATTATTTGGAATGATAGGCTCAAAGGACTGCAGTACGTCTCGTACATAGGAAATTAAGTTCTCAACAAAGTTCCGATGAATGATATAAACTTTAAGTGCAATTTGAAATGTTCTTTGAAACTTAGAGATGAAATAAAACGGGAGCTATGGGAAACATTTTACTCTTTAGAAAATAAAAGCACCCAAGACACGTACTTTCAAGGGTTAGTGGAGGTTTTGCCTGTGAAAAAACGTAGACGCAAAAACCGCAGGCCTAATGTAAATAGGGCTCAAGAAAACCTTGATGTGCCTACTGATGATTTGCCAAAAAAAAATCCCATTCATGCAAGTTTAACTTGAAAGTAAATGGTGTTCTTACTCAAGTTTGTAAAGGTGTTTTCTTAAAAGTGTTTGCAATTTCTGACAATCGAATCAAAACCATAAATAAATTTTCTGACCTTCACAAAACACCTGTAAGTATGAGGGGAAAATCTAGAACTGAAAACGCTTTTCCAGGTAACAGTTGTTTGAGAATTCAGCAGCACAATAAGAAATTCGATGTCAAGGAAACTCATTATGTGGGAAAACCTAAAAAATATCTTGACGCTAGGGTTGATGTCGTAAAAATGCATGCAATGTTTATTTTAGATAACCCTGACCTAAAAAATAAAGTAAAGAATAGTTTCTACAACAAATACTTTAAAGAGAATTGTGCTTACTGTTTTGGAAGACCACAAGTAGATGTGTGTTCAACTTGCGAAAGACCGTCGGCTGAATTGAAAGACAATTGTTTGAGTGATAATCCTAAAAGAAATGTAGCTGCTGATAAAATGATACACTTAAGGCGAGCAAAAATGTTTTTCAAAACTATGGATAAGGCAAGGAAAAACAAAGATAACAACATAGCCTTCGACTATATGCAAAACTTACCC